AAAGAAGGTGGAAGCCAGACCACCCACATGCTCTTCCTGTCTCTCCCCATGTGATACCTTGTGTTTTGCAAAGACTCTACCTGAAGAAAGACTGATAGATGTGAGCTCTTGACCTTGTGCCACCACTGTGCCAAAATAAACCTCTTTACAAATTTCCAAATCTTTGATATGCCATTATTAGCAACAGAAAATGGACTAAGAAAGTACTCAGCCAGTCAGGTCAGGAGAGACTGTGAGATTATCTCATTAAAAAGCCAAAAGTGGAGCAATGGCTCAAGTGGTAGAGAACTAACCTTAAGCAAAAGCAGCTCAGGGACAAGCACCCACACCCCAAGTTCAAGCCCCAGTACTGGCACGTGCACGTGCACACACACACACACACAAAACAGCATCAAATGCTCAGTGGTAGAGTGTCTGAGTAGCTAGTGCAAGGCCTTAAGTCCAACTCCATTACTATCAAAATCATCTTCATCATCACAGACTCCTAATTCATCAGCAAGTCCATTCTAAATGACTAAAAGACTCTCTCTTCCACTCATGACAGAATATCAGGGTGGGAAATTTCCTCTTGCCATAGACAAAATATAAACATTGGAAAACTAGAAGTAGAAAACTGATCCCTGACAGAAAAGAAACAAAGATGACAAGACCAGTGACTTGATAGCTCACTACCTTGAATGAGCTTGCAGGCTCCAGCCTGGGATAGGAAACCAAAGGGAAGTACCTGGGACTTCCCAGACTTCACACTTACAGTTCTAACACCAAGACTCCATGAGTCCTGAATACACAGGGAAGCCCTGGCCACTCTACCAGCTAGAGACCCATACTCTCCATGCATTGAAAATATAGTGAGGTAGGGCTGGGAATGTGGCTTAGTGGTAGAGTGCTTGCCTAGCATGCATGATGCCCTGGGTTCGATTCCTCAGTACCACATACACAGCACTAGCCTTGAACAAAAAGAAGCTCAGGGAAAATACTCAGGCCCTGAGTTCAAGCAAGCCCCAGGACTGGCAAAAGAAGAAAAAAAGAGAATATAGGGAGGTGACAGTGGCTACAAGTCAAAGGACTGGTGACCGGAAAAGAGGGCTTCACAGCAGAACATTCCAGAAACATGCTTCTCAGCTCAGTGGTCAGTGTAGGCATTCAAGTAGTCTACCTGAGCAAATCAGGGGAACAATTGCCAACCATCTCCTAAAGCTCAGGTATCACAAACTACTGAGCTAGAAAGGATTCACATTTTTGAGAGGACAGCCAAGGTGGAAAAACCTTATTATACATGAGTCTCTACTCACAAGGGCACTGGCTTAGTTAGTAGGAGCAAAGTAGCCCAAGATGAGGCTTTTCTGACCACTCTTCACAAAGCCTAAATGTCTGAAAAATTAAAGTGTTTGAAATTGCTTTATAAAATGGTTGTTTGGGGGAGAGGAAAAGCCCTAAACAAGGTAAACTTTTCAATGTCTAATATCTGATAAAAAAAAAAATTACCAAGCATGTAGCTGGACGTCACTGCCTCATTACTGTAATTCTAGCTACTCAGGAGGCTGAGATCTGAGGATCATAATTCAAAACCATACTGGGATAACTTTGTTCCAATTACCAGAAGAAAAAAAAGGGAGGGGGGTGGGAATATGGCTTAGTGGTAGAGTGCTTGCCTAGCATGCCTGAAGTTCTGGGTTCTATTCCTCAAGTACAAAATATTCAGAAAAAGCTGGAAGTGGCGCTATGGCTCAAGTGGTAGAACTCTAGCCTTGAGCTGAAGAGCTGAGGGACAGCGCCCAGGCTCA